GTGGGGTACCTCTTCTAATTTTCTAAGACTAGTCAATAGGAAAGTCCTATGGCTAGACCTAGGCTACTAAAGAAGTTTTCTAGACCTCAACCAAAAGTGAGGTCAACAGTGCACTTGCAAATTATAAGGCAAACATCCTCTCAAAGTCCGTGAATGTGTGATAACCCTCAGTGGAAGTCAATTGAACCATTATAGGGTTGATTTCCTTTGTGAAGTAAAGAACATATGACACTTTAATGTGTCACTAACCTTTAATAAATATATGTTCGACTTGAAAGAAGCAATGTGGTCGACCGGCTTCAACCATCCTCTGTATGACGCTAGGGTTGGAATATTAAAGCAGTCAAGTGGCTCGACTTCAGTAATTTATTTGGGAAAAGCATTCTCTATTTGCGCAGGCCACATTGCCTCAGTTCATTATTTCCTACAATTTTTGAGCTATACAGAACTCACGTTTTTGAGATTGTGAGCATCTTGCTCCCCTTCAGGGATAGGTGGGATTCATCTATCATTCAGAGCAACCATTCTTTTTTGTCGCGACAATTGTAATTTTTTTGCGGCGATCGCTCTTCTGATTGTCTCCACCATTTGTTCTTTAAGCTCATTGATTTGGTAAGTCACAAAGTCACGAGTGAGGCCCATTTTATCAGTTTTCGGGGGTTGGGGTTCTTTTTTTCGAGTTACTCATACTCTTGTTTATGACATGATTTTACACTCATCGCACTTTTTATGGTGTTAAATCCAATGGAGTGTAAGAAGGAGATATACTTAAGAATATAAGCCTATTATTTGTATTTGAGTCCCCTTTACATGTCAGTTAATCTTTGAATATTCAATTATTCCTTCGAGATTTTAGTTTTAGGCTGGCCTCCACCGGTTCGTCTTGGACAATATGGCTCTAAGTGCATTCTTAGCAAATCTTCACATTTACTAACTTCTAAGTAGTCATTGCCTGGGTCGGATGACCTCCTGGTAGATCAGTCATTGAGCACATTGATCTCTAATTGGTTGGCCGGCTGACTCCTGTCCTAATCTCACCTCTTGATCCATCTTGCCCCATGCATTTGTTCTACTTGAGCAATATTGATCACTGGCAGGTGCCCAACTGGAGACCATTGAGCAAGATTGATCACTGGCAGGTGCCCAACTGGAGACCATTTGATTGAACCGAACCCCATTCCATTGTACAGTACGTACATGCCAATCTCTACCGAACATTTTTCATAGCAATGGGTTGTTTGACTCGAGTTCGAGTGTTACATGGCTCCGTCCCTTGACGTTCTTAATCAAATCCCTTCTCTCCCTCTCAAACCTTCTTTTACTTCCCGTCGAAACTTCCCACCAACGGCGAAGCTTTCTCCCGTCAAACCATTCAAGAATCATCAAGCCCAATACTATGATTCCAGCAGGATCGACGATGCGCACTCCACTCTGGACCTCAAGGCGGAGCTCGACGTTCTTGTTGACCTCCGAACTTACTCTTCCCTCCTCCGCTCCTGCATTCGCTCACGTGACCTGCACCATGGCCGCCTCCTCCACCGCCGCCTCGTCCTCTCCGGCCTCCCATTTGATTCTACCATTTTTAACTCCCTCATCACACTCTACTCCAAGTGCGGTGACTTGGACTCTGCTATCTCTGTCTTCAATCAAATGGGCGACGAGCGAGATCTCGTCTCCTGGACTGCAATGATCTCGGCTGCAGTCGAGAACAATATGCAGGGCAGGGCTTTATCCATATTTCTCGAGATGATCGAGTTGGGGTTTATTCCTAATGAATTCACTCTTTCAAGTGTGATTCATGCTTGCTCGAACCCATGCTTTGGTAAAGTTGGGATTTTGCTTCTTGGTTCTGCAATAAAAACTGGATTTGGCAAGCGTAATGCATCCGTTGCAGGCGCTTTGATCGATATGCTTGCGAAGAATGGTGACCTGGCTTCTGCTCGCAAGGTGTTTGATGAAATTCTTGAGAAGAATGAGGTAGTTTGGACATTGATGATTACTAGGTATGCACAGCATGGGCTTTGCATGGATGCTGTGAAGCTTTTTTTAGAATTTCTTTTTGATGATTTTGTCCCGGATCAATTCAGCTTATCTAGTGTTATTTCTGCGTGTGCTGAATTGGAATCTGTTCTCCTAGGTAAACAACTGCATTCTCTTGCTATCCGAGTTGGTTTTGTTTGTGAAGTTTGTGTGGGATGTAGCCTGGTCAACATGTATGCAAAGTGTGCACAAGGGACCACCATGGATGATTCTAGAAAGGTTTTTGACCGTATGCCCAATCATAATGTGATGTCATGGACTGCCGTTATCTCTGGTTATGTTCAGAGTGGCAGGAATGATGAGCAGGCTTTGAGTTTGTTCTTGCAGATGTTGGAGGGAAAGATCAAGCCTAACCATTTCACATATTCCAGCATTCTCAAGGCCTGTGCCAATCTCTCGAACATTGATTTAGGGAAACAGGTTTATACTCATGTAATCAAAACAGGACTTGCCTTTGTCAACATTGTCGGTAACTCTTTGGTCACTATGTTCACCAACTCCGGTAGTATGGAAGATGCTTGCAAAGCTTTTGAAGTGCTGTATGAGAAGAATTTGATATCATACAATGCCCTTGTTGATGGGTATGTGAAGAACTTAAACTCTGAAGAGGTGTTTGAGATCTTCCAACAAATGAAAAGCATGAATTTGGGAGCAAACACCTTCACATTTGCAAGCCTTTTGAGTTCTGCTGCAAGTATCGGAGTGATGACTAAGGGACAGCAGCTTCATGCTCAGTTGCTAAAAATGGGTTTTGAGTCTGATATTTGCATCAACAATGCTCTTATTTCAATGTATTCAAGATGTGGAAATGTTGAGGATGCTTGCAATGTATTCGATGAGATGAAGCACCGCAATGTGATCTCGTGGACTTCAATGATAACTGGGTTTGCTAAGCATGGGGATGGGCATTGTGCTCTTCAACTCTTCCATGAAATGATTTCAACTGGCCTAAGGCCAAATGAGATAACCTATGTAGCAGTTCTATCTGCTTGCAGCCATGTTGGTCTTGTAAGAGAAGGGATAGAAAATTTTTATTCCATGCAGAGAGATCATGGACTAGTTCCTAGAATGGAGCACTATGCTTGTATGGTTGATTTGCTGGGAAGATCAGGTTTTGTCAAGGAAGCTTTCAGGTTGATTACTTCAATGCCCTTCAAGGCTGACGTAATGGTGTGGAAGACTTTGCTTAGTGCTTGTAGGATTCATCAGAATGTTGAACTTGGGGAAATGGCAGCCAAGAACGTTATAGAACTGGAGCCTAGTGATCCTGCAGCATATATACTGCTTTCCAACTTGTATGCTGTAGCCAGAAGGTGGCGGGATGTGGCAAAGTTAAGGAGTGTAATGAAGGAGATGAAACTAAGCAAGGAGGCTGGATTGAGTTGGATAGAGGTGGATAAAAAAATGCATAAGTTCCATGTGGCAGATACCAGTCATCCACAAGCTAAAGAAATCTTCGAGAAACTGGATGAATTGGTGGAAGAGATTAAAAAAATGGGTTATGTTCCGGATATAGATTGTGTTCTCCATGATATGGTGGAAGATCTCAAGGAGCGGTACTTGTTGCAGCATAGTGAGAAGATAGCAGTGGCATTTGGCCTTCTTTCCACTGAATCTCCAAGGCCAATTCGAGTTTTCAAAAATCTTCGAGTGTGTGGAGATTGTCACACTGCAATTAAGTTCATCTCAATGAAAGAAAGTAGAGAAATAATTCTAAGGGATTCAAATAGGTTTCATCGGTTTAGAAATGGAGAATGTTCTTGCGGGGATTATTGGTGAATCGAAAGTATTCATAAAACAGTTTGTTGATACAAGAAAATTTGTTTGCATATACTAACATTCAATCATTCTTACAGGGCATTGTAGTGTTCCTTTTGCAAGTCTTGCAGGGTGAAGTTTTCATAATGGAAAATGGAGCAATAATTTCCTTACGAACCTCTTTTTCCTACCATATAATGCCTACTATGCCATTGCATCTTGAGTATGTTGAATCCAACTTTATCTATGGGATATATTTGGACCTTATTGATATGATTAAAATAAAAACAGGTGCAATATAGAGAACTCTAAGATTTTTAAATTATGTTACTTTTATCCAAATGCCAAAAAAAGGCATGTGTAAATCCTACGAGTTCTTAAGTTCCATTTTTCGTCTGTTTTGCCTTAAATCTGGGATTTAATAAATCCCGTATAAGTATGATTTACTAGATTTATTGAACCAAAAGCCTAGGGGATGATAAATCCTACTAAATTGTCAAATACTTACTCCAGATTTATTAGGATTTATTTATTAGCATACCAAATATATTTCATGATATAATGCCTTCAAGATTTCAAAAATCCATATTTAAAAACTATTAAATCCTATTGAAATTAAATCCTACTTGCAACCAAAGATTCCCTTAGCACCTTACTCATAGGTCTTATCCATCAAATTTACTAAATCCAACCAAGCATAGAAATCGTAAGTTCTATGGATTTATGAAATTTCATATTTAAGGTCTGAATTTTGCCTTCGATTCATGTTAAATCCGGATTTAGTAAATCCAATGAGGGAGTAGATTTAATAAATATGGATTTATTAAATCCTACTAACATTAAATCCTTCTTGGTGAAACACCCCCTTAGACCAAAATTTAAGCAGGATTTAATCTACATCTTGTAAGACGATCATCTTGATCAAAATAAAGCCTCAGACTTAATAAATCTGAATTTCACTAATTTAGGCCTTGAATCCCAGATTTTCTAAATCTTGTGAATCGTAGTAAATTCTGGATAGATGCTTCATGTGTAAAAAAGACATGAAGTTATCTTCCTCAATGGTTTCGGGTAGGAGAAGAGCAAAAGGAAGTGAAAAATAGGAGTTTCAGGTCCCTGCAAGTGTTGTGTTCCCACCTACGATTCCAGCTAGCTCCAATTGTGACTATATAGCAAGGGTTCAGTCACGAAGGCCATAGTTTTGGATGAACCGGAGAGAGGGTGAGAGTTTCGAGGGAGGAAGAAGGTTTTAGGCGAAACTGGGAGCAGGACCGCGATGTGCGAAATGAGAGGTAAAGATGAGGGTTTTGGGAAAGGAGTGTATTATTAGGTTATTTACTGATGGCTTATAAACGGCTTAATAGCCGTCAGTTTATAACATCAAAACCGACTGCCAAAGCCATCGCTTATTATAAACAAACGTCGTTTTCTTCCCGATGAAATGTGGCTTTGTTAATAACCGATGAACTATGTTCATTGGTTAACATTTAGTGTATAACCGAATGTATAAAACATCGGTAAATCCAAAAAACTTATCAAAATTTTGTTAATATAGAAAAGCTGGATTATGTTGTAGTTATGTCGTCGCAAATTATCTAGTTGATTTATCATTGTTATGCTGTCAAAAATTAACATGGTATTTTTGATGCATAGAAAGTCATCTATTTTTCCGTCGATTATAACTGATTTTCCTTTAGTTGATGGTTTATGCCAAATTTTTTGTAGATGGGATTAATTAAAGAATTAATAGTCCTAGTTTCTAAGCTAATACTTCAAACTTAAACTGTTTATCATCCCAATTGTCTAGAACTTTTAGTTTGAAGGTTCACCTTTTGAGAACCCTGATCTACACATTGTTAGTTATGTACAACTTTATGTATAATGCAATCTCTTATGATACCATGAGAGTTATGGTGTTTCCATTTACTTAAGAGAGCAAAAATTTTGTTAAATATTTTCCCCTAGGCCGCTAACAACTTTGAATGACTTAGCTCAAAAAATTTTGGCTAAAATTTTTGCCCTATCTATCATGGACTACTTTAGGAATAACATAACCTTCTTCAACAAATTAACCAAAAGTTTCATTCATGAAGTTTTGGAGAGATTTAATGATCTACTAAAAAATATCCTCATCATGACTAACTAGATTTGTTGATTATCAAATATTTTATAATGGGCTAAGTCTATTGTAGATATTGTGACCGATGGATCATTCATATTGAAATGCTCTATGGCGTTGAATGTTAGCCTTTAAAAGAGAAGCATAATATGCTAAGATAAGTGTTGCCAAGATGAGAATGATTAGCTGGATGAGTGGTTTTACACTTAGAGCCAAAATGCCAAATGAATATCTTCGTGATAGGGTTGGTGTAGCTCCAGTGATGGGAAAAATTAGAGAGTTGTCTTAGATGGTTTGGTCACATCAAACGGCAACCATCTGATAATTTGATTAGGAGAGTAGATGTTTTAGATAGATGTTTTAGATTTGGAGAGTAGATGTTTTAGATTTGACTTATGTTAGGAAAGGCAAAGGTAGACCTAGGAAGACTTGGGCTTATTGTATAAAAAATGTCTTAATTTATTAGAACTAAATGAAAATATGACACTAAATAGGATGCAATGGAGAAAAGGATTCATGTAGGCGACCCCATGTAGTGGGATTAATGCTTAGGTGTTGTTGTTGTTGTTTTCTAAATGATTAAACTGTTGTAAGATAGCTAGTGTTCATGAAAATAATGTGTTATCTATATTGACTTCACTAGTAGATAAATTAAAAAAGGAAATAACTTAGGGTTGAATTAAGGTCAAGTGTCACCTGTGAATTATGTTGAGAATGAAATGGGTCAATCAAGTAACTTTGCTTTTCAAATGTGGAGTTATTGAACTTAGTATATAATAGCTAGAAGAATACATATTCTCGCACATATTACTCGGGATGGAGAAAACACTCAAATTTTAATTATAATAATAATCAAAATTAAGAAAATACTAATTAGCATATTAATCAACCTATTTCCATAAGAATGCGATATAACCAACATAAATGAATTGGGAAATTTGGATTTGTATAATTAAGTTTGAGTTTGAATTTGATTATTTACACTCCTCCCTAGGGTAAGATCAAAAATAGAAAAAAAAAAACATCCACTGTAATATAAGGCAAGCAATAGAGAATTAAAATTGGATGAGTAAATTATCATCCCTCATATTTAATGAATAATGCAACGATTTAATTTGATGATATCTTTCATCTTGACATTCCTATAATAAAAAAACCTTCAAATACATACAATGTGTGTATCAAATATCATTTTTCAAGTCTATACAAATAGGAATTAGCTCAACAAAAATCTCAAGCAAGACCAAAACTCGGAACCGTTACTAGGAAACATATTCAACCTGCTACCACTCATTTATATCTCGTCTCTCAATACACCTCATTTCATTAATGTTCTTAATCCCATAAAGCCTTTTTAGCCAATATCAACACCAATTATTTTTTCATTCCACAAACTCTATTTAAGAAATTAAAAAAAAAAAATTGGAAGGAAGTCATTAGAGAGAGATGAATGGCTCAGAAAAAAATTGTATGTGGGAGATCACTGAATTACGAGAAGGAATAAAAACAATAGGATGCAAATGAATTTTCTTGTTGAAATACAATACACAGAAAGAGTTTAGAAAAATATAATACAAGATCAATAACAAAAGGATAAACAATCATATGGGATTGATTATCAAAAAAAACTTTTCCTTGTTGCAAAAATAAATATTATTCTCATTCTAATAGCTCTAACAACGAGTTATGAGTGGTCTATACATTAATATGATGTAAAAATTATTTTTTTATATGATGATGTCGAGATACAAATCTACTATCAAGATTTGAAAGCTTTTTAAAAAAAGAATCAAATATGCAAATTGAAAAAGGCCATATATGAACTAAAATTATCACCTAAAGCTTGATCTTTCGTATTTACTAAGGCTATGGAAGGAATTGGATACAAACAGTGTCAAGGAGGCCATACGCTCTTCACAAAGCACTCTCTTTATGATAAAATTTTAATTCTTATTTTGTATATTAACGATATGATTGTTATAGCAGATGACAATCAAGAGAACTCTCAGAAAAAAGACTTGCTAAAGAATTTGAAATTAAGGAGTTAGGAAGACTCATAAACTAATTAAGAACAGAAGTGGCTCAATCTAAACAAAAGATATTTCTCTCCCAACAGATATATGTTATGAATTAGCTGAAAGAAACCAAGATGACAGAGTTCAAGTCATCTGAAACTCCAATTGTACCATGACAAAAACTAAACCTTGATGAAGGAACTGCTGCAAATACAATATATTAAAGGACAATGAAAAAAGAATATTTTTCTCACACTCATCCTAACATTGCATTTGCAATAAATTTAGTTTTTCAATTCATACATAAACCTAAAGAGTCACGCCTTTAATCCACTTATAGAATCCTCGGGTATCTTAAATTAAGCCCTGGAAAAATAAATTATAAAAAAAATTTGATACCATACAAGTTGAAGGATACACAAATGCAAACTATGTTATAGATCAATGACGGATAGAAAGTCCATTTCAAAGTATTTTACATTTTTAGGAGTAACTCTCACAACTTTGATAAGCAAGAAATGTGTGATATAGTTTCAAGATTAATTGTTGAAGCCAAATTTAGAGTCATTGCACAGGAGCCTCATGAGTTCTCATGGGATAAAATTATATTGGAGGATTTAAAAATTAAGTGGAATGTACATAAGAAATTATATTGTGATAAACATATTGACTATCAATATTACACACAATCTTGTACAGCATGGTCGTACCAAGCATATTGAGGTGGATAAACACTTTATAAAAAAGAAATTGAAAAATGACCTAATTTGTACTCCATGTTTCCAAAAAAAATTAACTGGTTGAAACATTCACCCAATGACTCTATAACCGACATTTAAAAATATCATAAAACAAACTTAGGGTCTGTTTGGGGCAGCTGTTGATTATTCAGAATAATCTGACTTGTTGTTTGGGACAGTTTATTCAGAATAGCTTATTGGTAGTTAAGGTAGTATAAATGACATTTCTGCCTTTGTCTGATAAAACTATTTGGGGCAGCTTATTCAGAATAGCTTATCGGTAGTATAGAAGCATACAATCATTACAGATCAGTTCCAAAAGATGACATATAGTTCTCACACTCTCATGGGTATCAGAAGAAATAAAAAAAGATAAAGACAAGTACAGCTATAATGAGAAATATTAAAATATTTAATTTCAAACTCTGGCTATGTCTGTCCTCAGCTTCACTATCAACTTGGGAAAACATCAGATTCCCATGACTGCTGGCAGTGTAATATGTTGGACTGTCAGCCAATTGGAAGAAGCCGCGATGAGCTGAAACACCCTTGGCATAACCGTAGAGCTATGAGACAAAGCTATGAGACTGACGTGACGTGAGCAACGGAGATGGTAGTCCACAATAACACAAATACCTCTGTTTGTAACTAAAATCCTAGAAGTCATGTTTGTATAACTGCAAAAAAAACCAAAAAAAAAAACGAATGTCGGTACTTATCAATGAGTAGTTATTCCAAAAAAAAAATAAAATACACATAAAAATTGATCTACATATATACGAAGAAAAGAAAGACTTGCTGGATTAGCTAACATATATAGCATCTGCCATAGACTCCCTCAGAGCAGTCATCTCAGCCATACCCTCTGTTTCATGAACTACAAATTCATTAAATTCATTCTCATCTTCAGAAACTGAAGGCCCGATCATGATTTATGATGGTTCTTCGTAGACGGTCAGCTCTTCCTTATCAGTCATACTAAAGTCTATATCTGAATGTGAAGGGTGTCGTCGTATGAAGTTATGAAGTGTTATTGTTGCCACCACAATATGCATCTGCTTCTGAAATGGATATGACGTCATATCACGTAGCATGACTCATTTATTCTTTCACACCTCAAACGTTCTTTCAATTACCCCACGTAAAGAGGAATGGTGTTTGTTAAACATTTCTTTCCTACCACGAATAATGTCACTTGCTCCCTCAAAATCAGGAATATGATACCTAGTGTTTGGATATGGCTTCAGATAGCCCCTCTGCATAGGGTATCCAGCATCAACCAAATAGTATTTTCCTGTTATGAAAGTTATTGTTATTTGCAATAAATACCTATAACTTGGAATTTTAAACTTCAAAACATACAGGAATTATGTGTTTCGGTCAAAGACCTAAATCCACGGTAAGGCATCGAACTTGTTTTATTATGAAATTGTGTAAGGTTACATAGCTATGTTTTTCATATACATAGCAATGGTTCTCGATACACATTATATTTGATACAAATGATGTGAAAATAAAGCAATACACATCAAATTTGATATAAACCTTCTCATATATGTCGTGGAACCCAATCCCACCGGAAGCAGCTACCAAAGAAGCTCTAAAATATAAGCATTGTATCTTTTTATCTAAACTATTAGGAAATGCCAAAAAATCTCTAAAGACATAAACCTTCTCATATGAGCCTCCTCTGATAGGAAATGCCAAAATATAATAATTGAATCTCTAAAGACCAATGCAACATATAAGCATTATATCTCCTCTTTAGCCTCAGAATCAAAGAAAGCCCTAAAACCCATCAACAAAGATATATCATCTAACTAAAGAGTGGATCAGTATTTGCACCTTCAAACAAATGCCCTAAACCCCATAACTGAGCAACATTCAATATAACAAGTGCAGCTAAACAATTCCAGGTTATAATAGGAGCAACATTCAATATAACACGTGCAGCTAAACAGGTGCACCTAAACCACATAACTGAGCAACATTGCAATCAGGAACAGTATAACAGGTGCAGTTAAACAATATAACATGTGCAGCTAAACAATTCCAAAAGTTTGAACTAGCTGAGTTCCCACAATTCAAACAATATAACAGGGACGCATTGAAGCACATTCATTAAAGCACATTCATTGAAGAACAATATAACAGGGACACATTGAAGCACATTCCAACAGTTAAACAATTCCAACAGTTCGAATAGTAAAGAACAATATAACAAGGACGCATTCAAGCACATTCCAACAATTCTAACTAGCTGAGTTCCCACATTTCGAACTAAAGTTTTCATACAGGAACAGGGACGGGAAGAGCAATATAACAGGTGAAGCTAAACACAGATCCAATGCATTCAAGGGATTTGCTCATATGTCATTCTTGTGATATTATACCAAAAACAAAACCGCAGAAAAACCTCAAGAAAACCCTCAAATCTATTTCCATCAATGTATTCCCAAATAATCCAGCAAAGGCATTCCTCAAGAAAACCCTCAAGAAAATTGAATCTTGCAAAAAAAGTAAAGACAATCGAATTGACCCACATAAAACCAACCAGAGAAGATCAAGCCATAAAACCAACCAGAAAGCATAGCGACATATAGATCTCACCAGAAGAATCGATGTCTACGAATGAGAAGATCGGGAAAGGAGATAGCGAGGGAGAGCACGAGAGATATCTCACAGGGGCACGGGATGAATTCAAGCCCTAACAAATGTCGAACGCACAGGGAGCCCCGCGTGCGATCTGTAAAAGGAAATAAAACACGCGGGGCCGAATGTCTTTTTTTAAAACGCGGGGCCGAATGTCTTAACCAAACACCAAGGCAGCGTTTTCAAAACACCGCCGCACCAAAATAAGCTGCCCCAAACGGGCACCTAGAATGAAATGTCTCTACCATCAAATTTGAGGAGAGTGTTGAATTTATGCTTCACTCACACAAATAATTAAAAGCACACGAATCAAGACTTTGTACCGTTGGATCTATTTATTTATGACCCTTGGATAACAAAGAACATAAGCCATACGGATCGAGCCCCTGTTAAATTAATGCACACATACCAATGCTCTATACTATTATATCCATCTCCACTACCACCTCACTGATTGGCTCACTACCACCTCACTGATTGGCTTTTTTTTTTTTTGATTTTTCTAATTTATAATATCTCTGAGGGTTGTATATATACATTTCCTCTTGTACAAAGAAGAGAATGAAATTCTTGAAAGTTTTTCTCATTACCTATTTTTTATATAAACTTTTCATTGAACTTCAATAATTTTGAATGTTTCTTTGCCATAAACTTTTAAATCAATACATTATCTAACTTGTTCTAAATTTATAGTGCCAACTCACCCATGAGCTAAAATGTCATGGGCATGAGTTTCTTTCATGTAATGGCTGGCATCGCAACAAAATAGCTTAGCTCAATAGCTTTTTTTCTTAATCGATTTCAAGATAAACACTAACTCAATCTATAGATTTTATAATGACCCCATATTAATCATTTTCAAGGCACTTTTTTATGGCACTTTCTCTATAAAAGTTTGTACGAGGAATGCAAGACAATGCAAACAGATAATTATAGTTTAACATCGAGGGAACAAATATGCTAATTAATGGCCCCGAAACAAGCCAGAGTTAAAAAGTATCAAAATATAAAATCCACTCCTAGTATATTAAAAATTCAATTTTTATTCCACATCTAATTTGGGACCATATTTTTCTCTCAACCAATTCGATTCTAATAATTCATCCTCCCTGTGACCCCATGTGAAGCTGTCAAACAACAAGAAGCAAAATCACCTAGTGCATTTGGCTATAGCAAAATGAGTTAGCAGTGATACTAACTTGTTATGAGTATAAAATACTAAAGCCATATCTTCGAACAATATCCTAGTAAATCAGCAACCATGCAATCCAAAATCTACGTTAATAGATAACTATCACAAACCATAACAACTTCATGAAATGACAAAACACAAAAATGAGCCGAAACATGGTAAAGAATTGGATGAACATTACATCTTCCTCAAACTCTCAGGCAACAGATCTAGATCTTTCAGTATACTGCTGAATCCAGGTGAGTTCTCCAACTTTAATAAGTCTTCTGTGCTATATTTCATTCTCTCATCTGTTCAGAAAGATAATTTTAAAATTAAGGAAAAAATCACCATAAAAATAACAAAAGAAGTAAGGAAACAAGTGAAAAAAATTTGATGCATTTTTGGGCTAACCCATAAATGAAGCATTAGATGATCCCACTGTTCTGGGTCTTGACAGAGGTACTTTAGTAGTTCTGAATGATGCAGATGAGCCATAAGAAACATTTTCATCCTCAAATCGATTGCTGGCATACACATGTCTGACCTCAACTTGCTGGTATTTTTTGCAGAATGAAGAAATGGTATTGGCCAACAAAAGCCAACAACCTCTGAGATCAAATACGCAAAGTAATGGAGGAGGCCTAAAAGAAAGAAGGCCTTCTTCTGTAAGCACGGCATCACGAAACCCAAGAAATTTTAATTTCTGAAGAGATGCAATCACATGGAGTGAGATTTCAGTTAAGAATTCACACTTCAGATATAAGCACTCCAGTTCTGTGAGAAGAGATAAGGGTTGAAGCGCCTCATCCATCACTTTTGTATCTTCCAAATTCAGGCTTCTCAAGTTAGTGAGATTCTGAAGTGCACCAAGCGAGAGTAATTTATCTGAACTCTCTCTGTGAGAATAAACAAAGCCTAGTATTATAGCAGAAAAGGGATTAGAACATACACAAATCCTCGTGAAAGGCAGTCATTAAGCTTATATTTACGAGACGCTCACCTCTAATTCTTGTATGGCTCAAGTCAATTACTCGCAAAGAAGGTGTCATGCTCATATGCATGAAACAGGTATCATCAACCAAAGTGTGGGATAAAGATAAAGTATCAAGGTTTGGAGTACATCCAACTAATACAGACAAAGCATGGGAAGTTATCTTGGTATTACTGAGATTTAAATACCTCAATTTCTCTCCAGATGATGCTACTTGCTCCATTAAACCATCTGTTATCTGAGTATAACTAAGATTTAAATGTTCCAAGTTATTCAAGGAAACCAAAAAATTGAAGTTGCCAATGTTTGAGTAAGATATATCCAGGAATTTCAAGCAGTCTGATTGGAGACCTGAAAAAACCTGATCTGCATGAGAAAAAGTTGCTCCAATAACAGTTAACTTTGACAAAGTAGGAGTGGCTCTTTTGTCTCCTTCAAATATAGAATGGATAGTGCAGTTACTCATGTTTAAACAAGCAATAGAAAGAAAAGGTAATCTGGTAACTTTGGTCCAAGCTATATTCAAAAAACTCAACAAAGGGAACTTTTCAAAGGTAGCAGCACCAATGTTGGAAATTTCACTGCCCCATAAATCCAAGTGCTCAAGCCGTGTCAACACCTGCAGTAAATAACAAAAGGATATTTGATGACAGGAATTTTTTAAGAGGGCAGAATAACAAAGTTGAAATCTTCAGACCCCTCAACCCCAACCAATAGAAGATCATTAAAACATTTACAGAAGATGTTGCCTATCATAAACGCCACCGCTGCTTTATTTATAGTAACTTCAGAAAATGAATCCAATCAAGTAAGAGAATAGATTTACACTTTATAACTAGAACAAACATAGATGTCGTATTCAAAAAATCTGAATTTACCCGTAACGATGATAGTGCCTTATCAGTGACAGGAATCCCTCCCAGATCCAACACACGGAGATTTACAAAAGAAGAGAGGCAGAGCACTCCATCAACAGTCAATCCTATTTCTGACACACATAGCTTCTCCAAACTTGAAATGGACAATAAATGCTTAATGCCATCATCTGTGACCCTTGAGCATCTTGACAGGTCTAATTCTTTTAGGTTATTGTGCCCTTGAACATAAAACATAAATACTGTTAATCGTTATGACATTCAACATGAACACGTGCTTTATTGCCCCACTATTTTGGAAAATGGACTAATAGGCATTTAACCATAGAGCAAAATTAAAACAATAAACTAGGGATGGGCACTCAGTCAGCTTTAATTAATCTAACTCCACTCCAAACAGAACCAAATTTGATTTGTTTCTTGAAAACTAGAATGCACAATCTTGAATGAATCCAGATTCTCGGATTCTTGATTGACATGCAACCCAACATGCATTTTCCGGCTTTCAATTAATTCAATTTATCAAAGAAACACATCACACCAAAATAAAACAAACATACCCATATGGACCAATAGAGCAAAGCCAAGTTTGTTTGATTAGTCGGACTTAAGTAATACATAACTAAAGTAAGGCCCAATGGTTCAAGAATAGTTAAACATTTACATGAAACCTTTTAGACATTCAATTTGCAAATAAGGCCAACAGGGCTGCAAACGGACCAAGCATTCAATAAAATACTGATAGCTCGGCTTGATAAAAGCTCAGTCATGTTTGTTTAATTAACAAATTGAACAAATTTGAACACCTTATAAATACACAATTGTTAAATGGATGAACTTGAACAACTCTTTGTTTTTGTTTAATTTGTTGATGTTAACAAAAAATATTATTTAAAGCTCGTAAATAAGCTCTTTAATAAGTTAATGAACACTTTCATTTAAAGTGAATGAACAAGTTCGCCAACAAGCTCAATTAAAAATTAGATTTAATGCTTGTGTATAATATTGGTTAAAATTTAATTTAAATCTTGTAAATAAAATTAATTAAAGCTCAATTTAAAACTAATTTATATTAAATTAAAATATTTTTTTAATTCATAATACATAAAAGAAGATAAAGGCTTGTATGTTTATTTATCCACTTATTTTACATGATTTTATGTTTATTTTAGTTATTTATTTTGTAGCACGTTTATTTAAAGGTTGCTTATTTTTTAAATTCAAAAAGTAACTACTTCAACAGCTTAATAAAGCTCATTTGATTAGAAATAAGTAGCTCAATCACACTACTCATTAGTTTGTTAAATAAGACTCGTTTGGTTGAAAAAATAATTCGATGGCACCAATTTTACTTTGCTTGATAAAAATCGTTTGCTTAAAAATCAACTAACTAGATAATACTACCCATTAACCTGCTTGATAATAACTCGATTATCATCATATTAAATGACCATGAACCCGGCAGAAACAATCGTAATGTCAAATGAGCCAAGCTTAAACATAAACACAAAAGCTCAAGAAAGTACCGCCTGACTTGGCTTCGAACGTTTGCATCTCTACACCTATATATTGAAAATATAATATCGAACAAGTTTCTTACTAAGAAACATTGAAAGCTCTTCATGCGTTGCAAAGCAATATAGTAGCCTTTCGCACAATTACCTTTAATTTCTCCCTATTGTCACATTTGACAAAGTGTAACAGGACAAATATGTTTAAGTTGTAACCACAAAAAGCTAGATTTATGAACTTATGTAGAAAAGCATACTCAGATTGCAAAGCTCTCAGTTCTTATAAAATGTAAATAGTCCTTCCAACCTGCCATCCATCAAGAGTATGAAAGAGCCACTGAATCATTAAACAAGGAAAAATTTACTAAACCCTCAAAAGATCCTTTAGGTTGTCATGCATAAACCTTTGTGGCATAACCATATTTGCTATTCATTTAATATTTTATTTACACACTATTAAAATCAACAGATCCAGCACTTTTTAGAAATAACATAATATATTGCCCATCCAAAGGAAAATTCTTCGCAAATTAGCTTATAAACTCACGCCTCTTATTAGTCCAAGTGGTAATAAACAATTACAGGTATCATTTGTTTTAACTCCTAGAGAACGAAAAAATAAGTCAAATTTATTACTTGTGCTAAATGAAAAAGAAGACAAGTTATAGGAATAACACAGAACTCTACCGCAACTGCAAATTTGAAATCATATTAATTTTAATGACAAACTATTCAAGGGTTTATTCGAAACGTTTTCTCATTTATCTGACTGAAGAATTACAAATCTTCAGACAAAACTACCACCACGACTGCACAACTAAATTATTTTTACTTGACAATAGTTGGCCACATGAGATTCTTAAATTTAAGGTAACACATAGCTAAACAAAATAAATGCTTCTTGGGTTAAAAAAAGATTAAGGCTTGTGGTTTCAGATTCTTTTTTATAGATTCCATAGAGAGTTTGCAGGTGATAGATTTGAGGCAGATTGCTCCCCTTTGGCTGCCAAGGGCTAGCCATCCATCCTTTCCTACTATTGCCCTTGCTTCAAGGCCAAGGCTTGTTTAAAAGATTATTAGAGGAGATGGTTTTGGGCCTCTTACTTGTGCATTCATTATGGCCATCTCTGGGGTGTCGTACTCCTAGTCCCACCTCACCCACTCAGATGGCCTCTCCTTCAGGGAAGAGAGAAGTAAATTCTAGGAGACCTTCATTCTTTCTCTATATGCTTTGATACCGGGGTGAGCGTTATGACTATTCATCAAATCGACAATGCAACAATCTCAATTATTGGGATCTTTAAAGACACCTGCATCTGCCATCCTTGTCAACAAAATGCCTAGAGCATATCCTCTTTCCAGCACCAAAGAACTACGTGTGGATTGTGGCCAAATCATCAACAACTCCTTATCGTGCCCATTTCTAGTCTGGAGAACCAGGTCTCCAAGACCTCTTCTTCTCTCCATTGGGGGCCATCAAAAAGTTTTTTATCCACATTTACTACGACAATCCCTAGTGAAAGTTTTTCCTTTTTAAAAGATGTGATTTGATTTTTGTCAAGATAAAAACTATCAATTGTGGATATTCTTTCGTTGAGATTTCCTATGTATTTATACTCCCAAAAAACTTAAACCAACTTGAAATTCACTAGCCTTTCTCTAGTTTTCTGTTTATCTTTGCTTTTCTATAGTGTGACTCATTCTGTCTACTCATAACCTATCATCCATTATTCAGTAGGTCACATCTACATCATTCACTTATATAAAGTTGTAAGGATCTCCCTAGTTTAGTGTTGCCACCTCGTTCTACGTTATTTGGGTTGGAGAGAAATGCTAGGGCGTTTGACAGGGACTCTTACTCCAAATCAAATCTGCACTAGCTAAAGAGATCCAATGGTAGGTTTGGCATCGCATTAAAAAAACTTGGTACTAGAAGAGTGGATACTGGGCAAATATTGGTTGGATTCCACCTTTCCATGATTTTTTTCATTTTTTCCTGCTTTTTTTGGCTCAATTAGCTTGTGTCTCCTGTCTAGTTCGGTTGACTTGTAAGTTTTTTATAGTTTTTAACCCTGAGGCCATACCCTTGCTCTAGCCTTGAATTCTTCTCCTTGCTTAAGCTTACTTTTCAACTACGTATACTTAATAATAGTAGAATTTGGATGCAGCTTCAAATTAACCCAAAAAAATGCAAGAAATATAGAATTTCAATGATAAAAAAGACTCATTTAAGAGCTGTAAATCTGAAATAAGCTTGATGATTGTATGACTCATAGAAGTAGCACTGGCATGCGCTGCCATCATCAAATTAAAAGGATATAGAAATTTTACCAAATAAGAAAGCCGACATGCAAATGAATACTCAAATAATTATCTAGTCTCCCGTCCTATAACCCATTGCTAGAGAGCTGCAGCTTTTCACACTTAATTGCAAGTTTGAAGTATTTGGCATGCAAGTGGGTGCACCATTTGCATTTTGATGCGCAAATACTAAAAATAAATAAAAGTGAAAATAAAAGGAGACTGATCAATTACTGAAGTTAAAATATTTTTTCGTCACATTTGAAACCTTGTCCTGCAATGCTCTATGGCGTTGAATGTTGGCCTTTAAAAGAGAAGCACAATAATAAGTTAAGTGTTGCCGAGATGAGAATGATTAGGTGGATGAGTGGCTTTACACTTGGAGACAATATGCGAAATGAATATATTTGTGATAGGGTTGGTGTAGCTCTTATGACGGACAAAATTAGAGAAAGTCGTCTTAGATGGTTTGGTCATATTAAACGTCGACCATCTGATGATCCGATTAGGAGCGTAGATGTTTTAGATTCGACTTGTGTTAAGAAATGCAGAGGTAGACCTAGGAAGACTTGGGTTTATTGTATTAAAAATGATCTTAATTTACTAGAATTTGAAAATATGACACTAAATAGGATGCAATGGAGAAAAAGGATTCATGTAGCCGACCCCACGTAGTGGGATTAAGTCTTTGTTGTTTTTGTTGTTGTTGTGACATTTGAAACCTTGCCATTTCATTGGAGAGCTAAAACAAATTCTGCGTGTGGAGCTACTCAAGTTGCTCGATATCTACGCTAAAGAAAGAAGAAAAAATATATAGCTTTAAGACCTAAACAACAAAACTTTTCAAACAGACTAGTTTTTACTTCGCAAATAATAGAAGTTTATTGAATAAAAAACAGCCACGCTTCCATTACATTTTAATATTTTGAAGCACAACCAAAGGTCATTCCATGGGCATAACCTATGTGAGGTATCTTCAAAATATATGTTGAATTTGTCTTCAAGTCCCATTTTATCATAAAATCAAAAGTATACAGTCATTAAGAAAAAAAAAAAAGATGCCCCCAAATGAAATTAAACCTGATAGATGCCACAGAGCAAAATTATTGATGTTCTTGCAATCTGCAATATTCAAACTATGCAAGCAACGAAATGCACCCAGGTAAACCATCCACTCAGTATCCACACAACTCTCACCACTCAAGTCAACCATTTCGACAGAAAGCTGGAAAACTCTGCAAATTCAATTTCCATTAATCAGATATACAAACCATGAATATAAACTTGCTTAAGAAAACTTTCAAGCATTCCCTGCAACAAGGCTGGAAAAAAAAATTTATCAATGAACGAATATAGAACTACAATGTTACACATAAAATATGTCACCATTTAAATTCATCTGGTTGGAAAATAATGGAATTATCTAATCAACACTTAATTCAAACCTAACTTCAAAAAACAAAAAACCTAAGAAAAAGATTTCTAAAGGGAAACACAAATCAAATATGGCTAGCGACAGTAGAGTAACCATAGAAAGCATTGAAAAAAAAGGTTAGGATGTCAGTTCAACCTCCAAGCAAGCAAGTGGTTTCACGGTAAATATGCTCCCATAAGGCATCAAAACCTATTCTCACAAAGAAATTAAAGAAATTTACAAATTACTTTTCCACTCGACTTAAGGGCTAACAGTCAAATCTTTTGAATATTCACAAATGTATTTTCACTTCTACCATAGCGTCCAAGATATAAAAACTACATCAATGAATTTTGATAATAAATGAGAGCCAAACGCTGGCATTTCCTTCAAAATTTCCCAAATTTAAGAAAAGAAAATTGAAGCAGCAGCAGAATTATAATCCTGAGAGCATCAATTTTGCAGATAATTTATTAAATCATGTTGTAAAGTATTCTTATGCACATTGCTTGCCATAATACAATGGTGAAGCAGGCAATGTTACCATCCTGGCCTGTGCAGTGATGCAAAGTATGTTATCCTGCTCAGATGTTGAATAATTCTGACGTGTCGATTAGCTGACAATCCAGAAGTGTCGTTGTTAGCTTGTTTCGTAAAAGTTGATGACTAGAGACAGAAAGAGCTTTGGTGAGTATATCAACTGTTTCATCTTGTGTCATGTGATGAAGGACAGTGATAACTTTGGAATCCAAATGATTATGAATGAAGTGATAGTCAACTTCAATGTATTTTTTTGGGCCATGGAAGCAAGGTTGTGAACAAGAGCTATAGCTGAGCTAAAATCAGACAGATGGATGTGGGTTGAGTGATGAAAAGATGGAATTCCTGCAATATCCGGTGTAACCATAAGACATCAACAATAGTAGTGGCAAGTGCACTATATTCTGCTTATGTCGAGGAGTTAGCAATAGTAGATGGTTTCTTGATTATAGATGACATGAGAGTTTATCTGAGGAATGAACAATATCCTCTTGTGGATGTGCAGTTTTGAGAGTCCTCGGCCCAATCTGAATCCAAGTAGGCTTGTAAAGATAGATCTCCTATGGTGATAGGAAGATCATAGAAGTATGTACCTTTAAGATAGGGGATAAGTGTTTAAGGGGTTGGAGATGACAATTGAGATGATGGTGTATGTTTTTTCTGAGTTTATTAATGGCATGTATGATGTCTAGTCTGGTAATAGTGAGGTATTGTAGTGAGCAGATAAGATGTGGGTATGCTGATATCCTTGAGGATGGAAGAGAGGTTGTTCATTTTGGGTATGAGGGGAGTTTTTGTATAGGAGTGGGCTGAGGACAGTCCTGAGTGTGCAAATGTTGAGGTGAAAATTAGTTTGGTGAAGAAGCCTAATTGCGGTTCTTAGACTAGTATTCCAAGGTGGAGATTGTGCCTAGTTGTTTGATATAGAAGGTTGTGTTGAGATTGTTGCTGAGATCACTGACGACAGAATTGTTAATGCCCTTTAGGAGGATAACATTCACATAAACTAAAAGATAGAGGTACGTGTCATTATGCTTGTAAATTAGTAGGGATGGGACATCCAAGTTTAGGTGGAAGTCTTAGGTGAGTAAATGATTGGAGAAAGTAGAGTGTTATTGACAAGGTGCTTACTTGAGGACATAGATTTTTTTATGCAATAGACAGGCATGAGTCAGATATTGTGGGTTCAAGAATCCAGGTAGTTAGGACAAGTAAACACTGTCATCAAGTTTTACCATGTAGGAAGGAATTGGAACTTTGAGTTATTGAACTTTCCATTTGTAGTGGGTGACAGGGTTAAGAACATGATTAGTAGGTACTTTGACAACTAGATTGAAGGTTTCATGATAACCAATGTCATATTATTGTTTAAAGCTATTTGCGACAAGGCATGGAGTTGTATTTGGTTGTATAGTTCCATTTACAAACTAGTAAGTTTTGGTATGATGGGGAGGTTCAAGTGTCATGTGCCTAGCTGTTATAGAGCTAAGAATTCTTCAAACGTGGCTAGATGCTAGTGATGAAGTTTGATTTTTTGGGCAAAGCAAGTGATATTAGGATTTAAATTGGTTGGGGAGATGAGATATTTTAGGTCCAAAATTTGTTTGGGTTCGAGAGAACCAGCTTTGAAACTTGCTTGCATGGGATAAGTTGAGGTGCTAAGCAGGTATGGTAGCAAGGAGTGTTGGTGGTTACTGGGATAGTAGAATTGGGAGGTTGTGTTGCCAGCAATAACAGCAGCGGGGAAGATTTGGGGTGATATTAGTTGTCGTGTGGAGTGGAATAGAGGGAAGAGGTGAGTGTCAAAAGTAGACGTGGTTATGAGGTGTTTGTAAGGGGGTGAGCGGGGAGTTGTTTTTGTATAGGAAGGAGGAGGTTTCATAGAAGCAGACATGATGAGAGAATGAGTTTTTGGGAAGTGACATAGCATCAATAAACAATGTAGTTGGATAAGTAGCCTAAAAAGATAGAAGTTGGGGATCGGAGAGCCAAATTGTGTGCCTAAAGGGTGGGAAAAATGAGTGTTTTAGCTTGTAAGGAAGCCGATAAGCGGACTGGGATGGTTTGGGATGGAAGACAATTTATAAAATAGTTGGCAGTGAGGAGGGCATCGACCCAAAAGTGGTGGGGGAAATACATGTCAAGTAGAAGTGCCCTAGAGGTGTCTAAAAGGTGGTGATGTTCTCTTTCTACGGCTTCATTTTGTTTGGAAGTATACAGATAGCTACATTAATGGAGAATGTCATGAGTTCAAATGTGTTTGTTGAGGACGTTATTGTTATACTCACCTCCACCATCATAGTGGAGATATTTAATATTAGTATTGAAATTTTTTTCCACTAGGTGTTGAAACTCACTGAGTAGTCTTGGATATGTTTAGCGGTGGAAATATCCAACAAAAGCAAGGGTATGCATCAATGAAGGAAAAATAGTACTCATAGTTGCAGATAGAGACAATCAGCGAGGGATCTCATACATTAGAGTAAATTAATTATAATGCATTATAGTTATAGCTACCTTTTAGGAAGGATAATTTGTGTATTTTAGTAGAGCTATATACATGACAAAATACAATATATAGCAGATTTATGCAGTGATTTGGTTGCTTTATGATAGCAAAAAAGTGGCAGTGAAGGTGTCCAAGATGTTGAGGCCATAGAGAGTTTGATGAGGTAGATTGTAGTGCTTGGATAGGGGAAGGTACACAGCTTGAGACAGGGAGTAGGGGCCTCTAAGGTTGCAACCTTGGAGGAGAGTCTACCATGTGCTTGTCTTGAATGTGAAAACCAGTAGCATTAAAGAAGAAGAAGCATTTGTTATCAAGGGCTAATTTGTGAACAGATAAGTGGCTGTAAGATAATTTAGGAACATGTAGTATAGTAGAGAGTAAGACCTTATATGTTGGGGTGGAGACGAGGCCTGTCTAAGTGAGCTATGGGAATGGATTGCCCGTTGTGACTTGGTTGAGGCTGAAGTTGAGCTGATGTTGTTGCAGGTTGTTGAGGATGAGTGTGAGATGAGATGACATGTCAAAATCCAAAAACAAATCATATGAACATTGATGATGTCACACCATGAGTCCGGAAGATAATACACCCGGCAAAGCAAAACATGATGAAATAAATTTAACATGTTTTGTATTTTTAAAAAGAAAATTATATGCAAAAAATAATAACAAGAATAAACAAAAAAATATAAATTTTATTCCATAATTAATAGTCTACTGATACAATTAAAAGAAAATTAAAAAAACTAACAATCAAAAGCCAAAATGACAACAGTGAACGACTATCCACACCCAAAAAGAAAAATACAATAGCTAAAGCAAATATTGAAAATATACCAAAACAGGAAACCTAAAACTGAAAAAAATCTGCTCCGGTGGAGATGATCTGCTTGTAGTTGAATAGAAGATGTTATGCAATGTTAAGCAAAAATATCAAAGAGTGAGTTTGACGAACAACAAAGTAAATAAGAGCTAATTATTAAAGTATAAACAACAAAGAAAGACATTTACTATGTGCATACATAACATCATAAGATAACAAGAGAGTTATAAACAAAATAGGTTCAATTATCTCAAGGAAACATGCAATCATTTCAAATTTGATCCAGTCTTTTATTATTCAGTTTTTATTTATAATTATATAGACGTTTTTAACAGACACCCTGAATCTGCTTATGTGTGGTTAGTCGAGTGGTCAGACACATGAGGTTGGTTGGAGGCTCATATCATAGCCTCTAACCAATCTTAGTGTATATATATATGAATTATATTAGAATAAAATGAGAGAAGAAAAAAAAAAGAAGAGGATAGGCACACGGTGCTTGCTCGGTCGAGGAAGGAGTAAGGAGTTTCGGTGGTCTCTGTGCGCCATGATCCCACGGTTGCCTTCTCGGCTAGCTCTAATCGCTACTGTGTCGCAAGGGTTAGGTCACTAAACCGATGGTTTTGGGTGAAACGAGGAGAAAGGGAGGCCAGGGTTTCAATGGCTACAGAAGGAGGCGAAGGAGAGCTAAGGCTTTGAAGCTGTGGAGCAGGTTCAGGCGAGGTTTCCATCCCATAGCCCTTATATAGAACAAGGAGGCGGTAACCTGAGGCAGGAATGGAGAGCAAGAAATCAAGCGCAGAAAAAAAGAGCTAAGAATTGGAAAGTCAGTAAGGCAACGAGCAAAGAAGAAAAAAAAAATTGGCACTTACATACTACCCTCATTAAAAGAATTTGATCCTCAAATTTAGACCTTAGTTATGGAACTACCGTGGGTACTTCACGATCACCTCTTCTTCAATCTCTCAAGTTACTTCTCGTTCTAACTGGTTCTTCCAAAGTACTCTAACAAAGGAAATTGATCGACGGCAAAGCTGTCTAACTTCACATTCCAAGAAGCAATCCAGTACTTCTTCATAACTCAAGACTCCCTGAATCACCAATAGCATATACCAAATAATATGAGAGTCATCATGCACTGCACATAAAGTGGAAGTATAGAAACATGAGAAATATTATGTACTCCTGTAAGTTTTAGAGAAAGAGTCGAACGACATGAAACACTATCGACTTTCTCCATGACATCAAAAGGACCAATAAAATGAGGATGAAGCTTTCTAGTCGGCCAAATCATGTGATTCTGCACATAGGTGAAACCTTCAAAAAAATTTGATCTCCAGCATTAATATCAATCTCTTTGAGTTGTGGGTCAAAGTACTTATGACGATCTTGGGTCGCACGTAGTCAATCTCAAATATGATGAACCTCCTCGGTAGCTTGATCGACTAATTGAAGTCCAAATATTCGTCTTTCACCTACCTCAAACCAACACAAGAGAGATCTACACTTTCTACCATAAAGTGCTTCGTATGGTAGCATGTTAATACTAGCCTGAACTATTATTATAAACAAACTCTAGCAATAGAATATAGTCCTCCAAACTACCTCAGAAGTCAAAAATACAAGCTCTCAACAAGTCTTTTAAGGTTTAAATAGTGTGCTTTGACTGTTCATCTGTCTAAGCATGAAAAACAGTATTGAGGTTCAATCTTGTGCCCATAGCTTCTCGCACTTGATTCCATAGCCTGAAAGAAAATCTTTCATCTCGATCTGATACAATGACGGTTGGAATTCCATGCAATCAAAAGATGTTATCTATTTAGAGCTTGACTAATTTATCCACTGAATAGGTCTACTTGATTGGTATAAAATGAGCTGATTTACTCAATCTATCGACCAGAAGCCAAATAGCATCATGTCCTTGTTTCGATCTCGGCAAGCCAACAATGAAGTCCATGGAAATCTCCTATTTACACCCTGAAATGGGAAGGGGCTGCAATAGATCACCAGGTCTTTGATGTTTGGTCTTAACCATCTGAAAGATCAAACAATTGGTTATAAACTTAGTTACAGTGGTTTTCGAACCAGACCACCAAAATAGCTTCTCAAAATCTTGATACATCTTATTACTACCTGGATAGGCAAAATATGGAGTAGAGTGCGCCTCACGAAGTATCTCCTTTCGAAAGCCTTCTTGATCCAGAACAAATAGTCGATTCTGAAATCTAAAAGTTTCATCTTGATCTATAAGTTTCATCTCCTTTCAAAATCATTCTCTCTCAGTTGTAGTAAGTTTGCATTCATCATCTGAGCTGCACGAATACAGTCCAAAAGTGTAAGTTGAACTGACGATTGATACATGACAGGATATTCTCCAGTCAGTATTATCTCAAGCTAGAGTCACTCCATCTTCAATGTTAACTGATGCTATTGTGTGATCATCCAAGCTACATATGTCAAAGATTTTTTTGTTTAAAGCATTTGTGACCACATTGGCCTTACCAGGGTGGAATCTCTAAATCATAGTCATTCATCAACTCGAGTCATCGCCTTTGTCTCAAGTTTAACTCTTTCTAAGTCAAAATATGCATTAGGCTCTTATGATCAGTAAAGATCTTGCAACAAACACCATAAAGGAAGTGCCTCCAAATCTCTAGTGCAAATATAACTGCAGCTAACTTCATGTCGTGGGTAGGGTATTTCGTTTCATGCACCTTGAGTTTTCTAGAGGTATTAGCGGCTAGATTAATTTCTTCTCTGCACGGGAGGGAGAAGAGGTCATCAAGACGAATAGTTAGTTTGGTTTGTATAACTGATTTGAATAATGGTATGATGGTGGAAGACCATTAAGAGTACAGAAAATGATGTCTTCAACGTCAGGCCTTGAGCCGACAGTGACAATGTTGTCGGTGAGTGTATTGATGGTTGTAAGGTATTAGGAAATAGTTTGAGAGCCCATAGAAATGTGGTTAGTTTCATTTATAAGTAGAATTAGATGGGAGCAATTGGAAGGCTGTCATCGTCATTCGAAGATTGTCCATATGACCAAGGTGCAAAAAAGGTGGAGAACATAATTTGGTAGGATGAATGTAGAGATGGTTGAAAAGATGGCAGCCATTGGTTTTGGATCAATAAGGTGCCAAATGTTGTAATTGGGTTGCGGAGTGGTGCACTAGATGTGGAGAGAGTAAATTTTGGGAGGCAGGTGGTGGTACCATCGAGAAAAGATTGGAAACCATTGCAGTGAAGAGTTTAAGGGCTTGTGTTTTCCCTATAGGCTAGTTGTCTTTCGAGAAGAGATCAGTGGAGACTATTTTGAGGCGAGCCGTGCGAATTTTTTGGGATGGCGGGATGATTTTCAATCATGCTTATGAAGGGTGATGTTAAGGGATTAAAAGTGTTGGAGGAGAAGAGATCAGTTTGCTCCATGAGAAAGGACTTGGGGAAGGGTGGGAGGTTGCAGTTAAGTTGATAGCTCTAATACCATAAAGAAGCAACAAAATTACAATCCTGAAAGCATTAATCTTGCAGAATTTTAATAGATCATAATGTAAAGTATTTCTCATATTGTTTGCTGTAATACAATGGTTCTATAGATGACAGAGGAAAGCAGTAGAATAGAATGGTAAAGCTATCCATTTGTGCTGAATGACCAAGATGAAGATGACAGTTAGAATCAATCATCAAGAAGGTGCAGGTACAGTTCTGACAATGCGCAGTGTTGACAAGTTTGTTATGCTGCTTGAATGGTGAATAATTATGATATGTTGATTTGTTAACAATGAAATCAAATTCAAACAATTAGTGCGATGATTATGAGTCTCATAAAGCCACTGATTACAGCTTTTCAACACCAAGTGCGGAGCCTCCCGTCAACATAACCTAACTGTGCCCGAAAAGAGACACGTGCCGTTTTCGTCCGTCGTGTTCTTCCCTACTCACAGCCCTGTAACCAAATAGCTAATTCCAAAAATCAAAACACAGGTTCAAAAATAGATAAATGGCTAAACGTTAAATAAAAATAGGAGACACGATCACATAAAGAGACGATAAGAACATAAACTTCGGTCGATTTTTCGGTCCCTCAATTACTTCGTACACCCGACCATAAAAAAAGAGTAAGATTGCTTCATAGAATGAAGTTGATGAGTGAGAGAGAGAAGCAGAACTCAAGAATGGATGGGAAAAGGAGGCGGCGGCTGTGTAGACGTCTGAAGAGAGCATCAGCGAGCTGAGAAGGAAGGCGCTCGACAGTCCTCCACTGCCTCCGCCATTTCTCGACGCTCTCACTGCTTGCAGTTGCGGCTTCAATACAGAGATCCACCAGCCCCTGGCTCTTCTCCATTTTCGCCTGCCTCTCTCTTCTAGTTCTTCTGCTTCTCCTACCAAGGGGCAGATCTGGCGAGCCGGGAGGGAGATGGCTTCAAGAAATTCGAGATTCAGGGGCTCAGTAACTAAGAACGATGACTCAGTAAATTTTGTGTGATTTAACATTAAAAAATATATTTGATATAACAGATATTAATTTTTGTTAAATAAAGTAAATTATTTATTTCTTTTAAGATTTATATGACTGTAATATTTTATTATATCTATTTAGCCTATAATATTTTTAATTAGACTAATTAAACATCACAAATAATCATTATTTAATGATATACCAAGCCAATGATATAATTACATTTATTTAAACTATTTAAATAAAATAATTATAAGTTAAATAATTTTTTATTAATATGTTTCTATAAAATTAGATTTATTTTTTAGCTAATAAATCCATATGCATACATACATTTGCATATAGCATTGAAAATTACTAATTTTAATTAATAATTTGTACATCAATTTAATTATGCTAATTACATTCAAATTAGCATAAATTAATATCATGATTGAGAATTTATGAAACTAATTAAACCTAATAATTTATATTCAATCAAACTAAATCACAAGACAATATTAATTTGCTTAGACAGACCTTGTTCAATTGATATTAACTATTCTGAATAGTTAAAAAAAAAGCAAAATTTAGTACAAGAACTCTAAAATATGTAAAAGGGAATATCGAGTGATGGGGAAGACAAACATTAGATATCCATATTAGCACATGTTAGGATTTGATTATTGGTAAACATCATATGATTATCAACAAAGTCATGCCTGAGGTCGAGAGATGATGGGTGATGGGCCTAACAGTGATTCTTATAAGTGAGAAGATTTGGCAGCCACGAAAATAAGTATCGAACTTTAATGGTTAAAGTATACTAAATAGTGCACCTTAATACGTTTTGGGTGGCTAGCAATAAAAAATGGTAGAGGATAGACGGTGTCAGGTGAAAATTTCATAGCTCTCCTTACAAAAAAAAGAGAAATCACGACCTCAAAGATGAGTGGCAATTGTTAGTGTTTGACCAATTTCAAAAGTAAATTACTAGTGGATATCTTGGTAACCAAAAAATTTCTGATATTGTTTATTAAAATTCACGTGGAGCAAGCAAGGTACTCTCACATTTTGCTTATTATAAAGGCCAATGATGATGATGATTTGTGGTTTATTTTTAATTTTATTTTGTGGGTAAGTAATTCCTAATCATGTAAAATTTGGAGAGAATTTTCAATGTTAACCCCTTTTTTTAAGCTCATTTATCAAGATATTTTATTAAATAGTTTATAACTGAAGTGTTTTCCATAGCTTCTAAAATATGAGGAGTCAATTAGGGGGCAGCCACTCTAGTCCAAGAAGGATTTTTGTATAGGAATAATTATTATGTTTTCTTATGTGCTTCTCACGTATTTTGTAGCTACTCATTTATAAGTAACATATTCATTAATTCAATGAGAAATAGCATTTGATTTCTCACAATACTTGTTTTTTTTGAAGTGTTATGTTTTGTTAACTTTTAGATTGATTTATAAATTAATTGCATTAAGGTTTATGAATTATAACATATTTCTCTTTCTCAAAGCATATTCATCTACATCCTCAACATCTTCTTAATGCCCTCAATACTTCAAACCTTATAAAAATAAAGTCATTACCATTCGATACAAACCAAATACAGTAAAACACTACCTAATCACACAATTATATGTATCATATAAGTAATATACCGAACATAACCCATGTATCGATTCCATAGAGAACGAGCTAAATTCCAAGGCAAAAAAACTTCTAGTACGTTGGTTTTGTACCTAGCTTAAATGTAAGAAGTTTTGGTATTTTGTTAACGTGATTAATCCTAATTTTTGAAATAAAACGATCTTAGACTAACAAGGTTAAAGAATCCAAGAGTCATAAAAATTTATCCTTTGAATTGGTTTTATAGGAATTTTAGCTCAAACTAATGATTCTTTTAGTAGACGATAATCTTATAAGTTTAGTCCTCTAAAACATGTGATTGGCCCAAGATATCACTTGCACTAATCTACTGGCAATATTTCTATTCACTTAAACTATTGTGTGTTACTCTAATCATTCTACTATGAATTCTTCTATATCTCAAATTTAAAAACATTTTTTAAAATTTTAACTAGACATATCAAAAATAAAATATGCATTAAAGGTTAAAACATCACCCTATGAAAAATTGCATGAAATCACACAAAAAATTTCTTACTAATCATTCCTACATAGCCAATCCAAGGGATAAAAGACAAATCTACTCACAAATCATACTTATAAACAACAAGATGATGATTATATTGAAAGGAAAATTCGTAAATAAGAAATTCAAAATAAAACTCAATTGAAATACAAAAAAATTACAAACTTATCTCTTTTATTTCTCAAAAAAAAATGAAGTTTAGAACACACTCCTCACCCGTCTCTCTTCTCAACTACAAAACTTCTCAAGTTTGTGAATCTCTTCCCAATGCTTTTGAAGTATTCTTTATGCCTCAAGTATCGTGTATCCCTTCTAAGTGTGTCAGTCAATTGCATTCAAATCATAGATTCACGAATTGACGCATGTGAACTGCTCCCAACCATTAAATCATATGAACTAGGCCCAAGGTGTTGGTCTATGGTGCCTAGGTGTTGGTCACTAACACCTAGGCGTTGCAGTCGTGGTGCCTACTTTTCGCCTTCATGGGTTAGATTTCTAAGTTTATGGGGCTCTAGGTGGCTAAATGTGGCGCATAGGTTCTTGAATGTAGTGCCTAGGCGCTAAGGCTGCAAATCCTAGCGTTGCTATTGTGGTGTCTACTTCCCTCTTCTCTATATTTTGGATGAAATTTTGAGCATATTGGGCATTATTGGCATCAATTTTTTATGCATGAGGGTGGAATTTCCACCTGCATGACTCGTGATAACGTACAATTCATTAGTAGTGTCATGTAACTCAAGACACCCTAGACTCTCTAGCACTTGTTCGGGGTAAAGAGCTAGGGTTGGCGGTGATCTAGCCTTACCCGAGAGAATCTGCCATTTGAGGGACTCAGTCTAGAAATAAGATAGAATCAGTGCATATTTTTGTGTTTAGAAGTCACCACACATCTGTTTGAATCCTCTCATGGCTTGGGGAAGTCATTGAATCCTCCTACACGCACTACGAGAAAGTTAGGGTTCAGGACACCCTACCCGTGTTGTGGCTTAGGGTGATCGTTGACCACATTTCTCCCATGAATGGCTAATCAAAATATTCAATTTTAAAGTTATGGAACTACATTTTTACTCATATAGAGTTGCCCATAGCTTACGGATCTAGAAAATTCTTTGTTGGGTGTTCCTAATGTAAATCAGGGTTTCGAGGCTAAACCGGCGGTTAGGCGCCTACCCCGTGCGTCTAGTCGCCCAAATGTCTTCTTCAACGTGTGATCCAGGCCTCTAGAACTCTAGAACTAGTTTCTAGTGTGTGGGCACTACAATGGGTGCCTAAGTGCCAATCCCGGGGGTTAAGCGCCCAAAACAACTTAAAAAATGGCCTCTTTCCGAAAGCCGGGAAAGTAAGCGCCACCTGGGTGGTGCCTAGGCCCCAAAGGTTAGTACCATGGCAGTATATTGGCTCCTAGGAGCCCTCCAGGTGCCTAGGCTCCAATTCCTTCACAGGTCATGAAAAATAATCATTTTGTGGTCCGATTAGACTTCCGAAGCAGCCAAAATTGTAGAGGTGTGATGATGATCCTCGGGTATGGGAAAAGAGGGAGGATAATACCTCTTTTAGTCCCCCTCAAGAAGCTTCAATGGAGATCTAATGGGGACATTTTGGTCAATTGAGGAGAGTGAGTTGAGCTTAACAGAGGGGGTGCTCATTTCCTAGGGAGATTGATCATTTTCCATTGGTGGGTTGAAGGAGAACTTGGAAGGAGCTTCTTTGGAGAGAGCTTGGTGGTTTGGTTTCAGAGAATCTATTTGTTCTTCCCAGTTTTCATACTTGACCCCTGCCTTTACATAAAGCAAAAACTATAGAAGGATTCCCTGGCTCAATGGTAGTTCCACCCTTAAGAATGTTAAAAATGGAATTATTGATCCTAAAGTCAATGTTAATGTACAACTCCCGCTAAATATAAGAATTCAAAAATGAACTTTCTCTTGTCACCTTGCTATAATTTATAGAAGGTATGAGTTGCTGAAATTATATAATGTTAAGCTTTAAACTCGACATGCAAATGAAATCATAAAAAAAAAATTTTTTCACATCCCAAATTCTCCACTCACCCCAATTACAAGCTAATATTAAAATAATCTCATCTAACTCTAAATTAGAGGGCATGAAACTGAAAATAAATCATTTGCAATAATTAGAAGGCTAAAAAGTTAATTTATTTTTGATATGCTAAGGCACCCAAGCTCCCAAATAAAGCTGGAATGTGAACAATGGGGTGCCTAGATGTTGCACTAGAGTGCTGGAGTACCATTTCATAGGGATGGTGCTTAGGCCTTATGAAACAATGTGGGGGCACCCAATCTAAAAAAAAACACAAGTCAGATATGAAATCAAGTTGACTCACACAAGAAATCTAATCAAAGCAAAACACACATTACTTCACACTCAAATACTAAATCAACACAATAGAAGTAAATCAAACACAATAAAGTACTTGAGTTGTCTCCCATGAAGCACTTAGTTTATTCTCCTCAGCTGGACAATGTTATATCAATTATTTAAGATGATCTAAAATCAAACTTTGTCTAAAGCCAAACTTATCACTCCTAAATACAATTTAAGCCTAAGTTAATTAACCTTAAACACTCTAGCACTCTTTTTATTTTAAATATCCACAACACTAAAAGAATATACCTTAACCACAATGAACGGATGAGACCACCTAGATTTCAACTTTCCAGAAACTAATTTCAATCATGATTCTACAGTAACACCTCTTGTCTAGGCTCAAAATTCTACCTAATCAGCTTCTGATCATACCATTTTTTTATCTTTTACTTATAAATTTTGGCATTTTCATAAAATTTTTCTCTAATTTCCTCTAACTCGTTAGACAATAATAACCTTTTTTAT